TCAAAAGTTGTTTAAATAGAAATTTATAGCTCAGGATAGAGAAAAAAAAACATGCTTGTTTGGCATGTGGCGTGGAAGAAAGTGAAGTCATGTCCTCTAGTAGAATCAAGGTCTCAATCAAGCCAAAGATGAGCAGACAGCAGCTTCAGATTTGGGACTATGGAGATAAACCACTGTACGCAAATGTGGGTGGAGGGCAGAGAACATTCATAAATAAAAATAAAATAAAAAGCCTTATCTGCACTCGCCTTCCTTCATGAGTCAGGTCACCACACAAGGGCTGAGGCTCCTGCATTACTGCCAAAGTTAAGTGCACAAGTGATCATTTAAAAAAAAAAAACCCTTAAAGGGACACTAACAAAAGATAGTGAAGCACCTTTGAATATACTTGGCACTAATTGAGTATTTGTGCTGTATAATTTATAAAGCTGATGGAGAGCAGAGTGCCGATATGTCCTCTTATTAAATTCCAGGTCTCAGTCGAGAGTGTGACTACAGCTGTAATTAAATCAGATTTGCAAAAGAGTGAGGGGCAGAAGGACACATGCAAGCATATATTAAGAGTAAAGAAGAGCACGGAGGAAAAAAGGGGAAAAAAAAGTGCCTGGTCTGCATGATCAAACAGTACAGTCCTGCACTTTAAACAAAACACATTCCATCAACTATTGATTAATTATACCGCATAAAACAAACATTAAAACCACAGTCTTTTGAACAAGGTTAAAGAGTAACTAACCACAAACCTACAGAAAACATTAGACAAAACAGTGCTTTAGTGGGCTCCCTGTCGCCATGTTTGAGGCACCACATCTATCTGATATCTGACCTCAGTAACAATTAATTTGCACCTGCAGGGGATTGACTCTTCTCGCTACCTAGCATTGATCAAATACTGCAATGGGTCATTCTCCACCACAAGGCTTGGTTCGACCCAGTAAAGAGCAATATACAGTGTTGTAAATATTGAGAAACACAGGAGGACTCACCTCAGCAGCTGTTGATTTTCTCAGGAGAAACCGCTATTAACACTTTCAGGACCTCACTGGAACAAAAGCAAACCATTAAAAGTAACTGCATGCCAGTAACGGGTGTAACAGGAACACTGAGCTGCTTGTGGAAACCAGATCCATCTGTGAGCCATTTATAATGATATTAGATTAAAAGACCTTGGAATTCTGTAGCACTGACAAAGTCAACAACGAGTGGACTTCCATCAAGGAGTGGAGGTGAAGAAAAAAAGCTGAGCTCTTTAAGATGTGCAGATTATCTGTAGGATGAAATTACAGATAAAACAGCGTTAACATTTGTAGTTGCACAAAACTGAAACATTAACCAAGTCAGCTTCTCTACAGATCTTAATTTTAATGGAAAAGATTTTGGTTGAGAGAGGAAAGTGTTGATTTGCTAATCTTAGGCTTGACATTGATAAAAGTCAGCTTTGGGACACTGGAATTGACAGACGGATGAAAAAAAAAGTGAGTGAGCAGCAGAAGGACGTATTTAAGCAGAGTTTATATTATATTAAGCATTAGAGAGGAGTACATACAAGAGAGTCAAAATTAATTACCACTCAACATCCTTGGTCATCAACACAGACACCTCACTTTGGGGGGAAAAACAAAAACAAAGTACAAACTAAAAGA